AGACCACTGAGCCATCTCACCAGCCCTTATTTTGGTTTTTAAACATAAAACCTCACTATAAGCTCTAGACTGCATTTGAGCTCATAATGTAGCCCCACAATGGCCCAGAATTCTTGGTGATCCTTCCATCTCAGCCTCCCAAATCCTGGGGTTATAGATGTGTGCCACAATACCTGGCTGTATTACATTTTCTTTATCCATTCATCTGTTTTCAGGAACCAAGGCTAGTCCTATAGCTTAGCTATTGTGAATAGTACCACAATAAACATGGGTTTATCTCTATAGAGTGATGACTTCAATTTGGGAAGCATTTATCATCGAGAAGTAGGCTAGACCAAATGGTAGCCTATAGATAGTTTTTTTGAGGAGCTCCATACTAATTTCCACAGTGGCTGCACTAGCTTACATTCCTACCATCAGGGGAGAAGCCTTCCTTTTTTTAAAAAAATGTATTTAGTACAGAGTCCACAGGGTCTCACTACACAGATCAGACTTGTAGTGATTCTTCTGTTCTCAGCCTCCCAAGCGCTGGGATTACAGGGACACACCACCATGACCAGTCTCAATCTGTCTCAATGCATGGCACACCAGGGACCAAATCCTGGTCCCTGCATCTGCCTAAGCAGGTGTTTTAATCCACTGAGATATCTGGTTGGCCCTGAAGCCTTCCTTTTTCCCTACATCCTCACCACCACATAATATATTTTTGTGTTCTTAAGGGCAGCTGTTCTGACTGAGATTCGATGGACTCTTAATGTAGTTTTCATTTGCAATTCCTCCTGTTATGTAATTCTTACCTCAGTGAAAAACATTAAAGGAGGAAATTGAAAAACAGCCTAGTTATAGCTCTGACAAAATTTGATTGCATATAGGCAGGGAGTGGATTACAGGGACTCTGTTTTCCTTTCTAAGACACCCTTTATTGCTGATATAAATTGTTAATGCCTTTTCTCATCCACACACCTGTAATTCCAACACCCTGAGAAGCTAAGGCAGGAGGATCACAGGTTCATTTCCAGCCTGGGCAGTTCAGCAAGACTCTGTCTCAAAAAAATGAAAATGGACTGTAGGTGTAGTTTAAGTCTGGAGTTTAACCCCAAGTACAAAACAAACCCTGACTAGCCTGAGTGGTTAGGACTGTTTTTTGGCTTAGGGAACTAATGGGTCAAAAGGCAAGGTTGAAAGACAGTCACAAATCGGTATTGTAGCAGTGTTGGTATCCTGTCCTCACATGAGAAAATACACTTATTTTTAGAAAATATATCTTAATATATTTAAGGATTTAAAACCAGGTTTAGGAGAGAAAGAAAGAGATCAAAAAATGTAATATAAAATGAAAATGTTAGGGCTGGCCAGAGAGCTCAGTGGATTAAAGCATCTGCTTAGGCAGACACAGGGACCAGGGGTTCAATCTCTGTGCGCACGAATGAGACTGGGTGTGGTGGCACATACCTGTAATCCCAGAGTTTGGGAGGCTGAAAAACAGGAAGCATCACTACAAGTCCAATCTGTGTAGTGAGACCCTGTATATCCTGTACTAAATATGTTAAAAAAAAAAAAAAAAGTGAAAATGTTGCTACGTGGGAGTCTAGAGGGATTCTCCATACTATTCTGGAAACTTTCCTGTGAGTTTGAAGTTCTGTCAAAACAAAAGCTAGAAAAGAAGCTGGGTGTAGTGGGCGTACCACCATAATCCTGGCTACTGTGGGAGGCTGAGGCAGGAGGATTACAAATTCAAGCCCAGCCTGGGCAAACTAGTAATTTAGCATGAATCTCTATTAGCTTTTTTAAAAAGTGAGAAGGTGGGGCTGGTGAGATGGCTCAGTGGTCTAAAGCACCTACTTAGAACAAGCTTAGCAAAGCACAGGGACCGCGGTTCAATCCCCCAGCACCACATGCCAGCCAGCCCCGCCCCCTGGTGGGCTGAGCTGGCCACACACACACACAAATAAATAAAAAAAAAAAAATTAAAAAAATAAAATAAATAAAAATAAAAATAAAAAGTGAGAAGGTGATGAGGATGTGTTAAAGCCCTAGATTCAATACTCAGTATTGTTACACACACACACACACACACACACACACACACGTGCTTCTCTTGAGAGGCAGATTTCACTCATCCTTATAGAACACTTCCAGGTGAGTGAGAGAACGCAGCCGGATGGGCTGTGAGACAATCGCCCAGCTGCTGTCTCGCTGCACGGGCCATCTGGGGAGGACACACAGGAAGCTGCTCACAGTAGGCGGGGCCAGAAAGGAATTAGACTGGTGTCTCCTCTGTGCCACTGAGGACTAGGCAGCGCTGTGTATTTGTTTGTTTTGTGGTACCGGACCAAAGGGTAGTCTACCATGGAGCAACATCCCCATTCCTTTTTCTATTTTTTAATTTTGAGACAAATTCTCACTAAGTTGCTAAGTTATCCAGGCAGACTTGACATTGTGATCCTCCTGCAGAGTGTCAGACCACGGGTGAGCAGCAGCATCATGCCTGGCTTGTCCAGTGTTTTCTGACCCTAGGCACAGCTTCCACTTCCTAATAACCTAAACCAGAGCCCCCAGCGGGCTGGCCTCACCCTGCATCAACTGCTGCTGCCCCCGGATGAGCTGCTCACAGAGCCGCCGGTGCTGGTGGCAGCGCTGGATCACCAAGTCCTTCTGGCACAGCAGGGTCTTGCGGCACAGGCTGTCGGCCCGCAGCTCCGTGTTCTCCACCTCCAGCTCGTGGGCCCTGCACAGCAGCCGCAGCACCTCTCGCTGGTCCTTGCTGGTCACCTGGGCAGGCAGCAGTGTCTCCATCTGTGAGGCCTTCTGCTTGGCGTGGGCCAGCCGCTGCTCCAGGCCGGCCTGCGGGGAAACCGGGCACTCGGGGAGGATGCAGGCTGATACATGCTTGTTTATGGACAGGTCTGAGCACACATAGGTGCAAGTAGACTTAGATGCACTAAAGGTCAAGTGATTATAAACGCCAAACACACCTCTAAAACACCTTCCCAGAAACCCTCAATTAGTGCCTGCTGAGATCATACATCCTGCCTGCTCAAGGTGCCTCCAAAGCAACCGTCGCACCACACAACCCTACCCATTAGAGCTTGGGCCCAGAGTCTTGTGAACCTAGAATCTGGGCCTCAGCAATGGGTCAGAAAACAGCTTCCAGGACACTGCAAAGGCCACGTGCTGGCCACTGCCTTCTTGATCTGCGGCCTCTCAGGGACCGCTGAGGAGGCTTGGCTCAGCAACCCACCCAAGATCCTGCTCCTCAGGCTTCCATGCAGCCCCTGCTCAGCTCCCCTGACTGCCTGGCTGAGCAAACAGCCCCTCCTATCGTTCGCTAGCCTGCGCCATGAGGACCGCACAGAACCGCAGCAAGCACTGCTCCTGACTGCGTCAGATAGTGAGCTCGCTCATCTTTTCATTTTGAGGGCTCATTCATCAGCAAACCCACCAGCCCCAGGTGATCCATATCAGCATCCATTCTGGGTCCTCAAGGTCACAGTATCTGGCTGGTACACAGCACTAGCTTAAGCAAAAGAATTTTTTCTTGTTTGTAAAGTTCACAGGAAAAAAGAAAATAAAGGTCAGAGGAAGTCTGACTTTTAATTTTGAAGTGAACTTGCATAATCTCCCAATTGCTGCAGGCAGATATCAGATGTAATAGTATGAAGACATCCTTGGTTTGGTTACATAGCTTTTAAGTGAAATAAGGGCCTCCTGCTTTTAATGACATGAGATCATCAGACAGTGTGCGCCTTTGCCTGGAAATAGAGCCGCAAGCGTTTAACTGAGGGCGCAGCAACACCAGACTCCTGGCATTTCCCCTGAAGTCTCCATCACACACCAGCACTGCCGTTTTCTGAATGAGACTATTAAGTAACCAGCGATTACATAAACTGCTCGCATAAACAACTAGCTATTCTCAGGAAGAAAAATTGTGAAGACTTCCTTCCTCCTCCAGAAAGAGCTTGGATGTGGCCTTCTTCTGGCCCCAGGTCCACCTAGGACTTGCTTAACCAGAATCCAGCAAAGGCTGAGCAAGATGTCCCTGGAATCACTTTGCAAACCGGAACATGCTTGTTTCACGTGAGGGTTTATTGCCAAGCGGAAGGAACTGAAGTCTTTGCCATTCCAGGCTCTGGCCACAGAAGGTGAGGTGGGCAGGGGGGGTCTCAGTGGCACCCACAGTGCCAACTCTGCCCTATTTTCACTGGTCTGAAGACCCCTAGGGAGCCATGACTCCATACCATGTGCCCAGGTCAGACCCAGGTCAGACCCAGGTCAGGTCTCAGCTAATACCTCCTGTTCTCTGGGGATCTGGGATAATTTACCCAGCATTTCTGAGGTAACATTTTCTCGTCTAGAAAGTGGACCTGACTGGCCTCTCCTGCATGGAGGATGATCACAAACGATCACAAGCCCTTGAGCAATTAGTCCCACCCTCTGACTGGAACTGTGCCCCTCACCTTGAGGGCTGAGGTTTTCCGATGCTCTGCTAACAGGAGGTTGACTTCTTCTCTAGCCACAGCCACCTCATGTGGCTCTGTGGGCGCATCCTCCCCCTCAGTGTCTGCCAGCTCCTCATCCTTCTCCAGCTCGCCCTGGTCTCTCTGCATGTGGAGGTCGCTCTTCTCCTGCTCCCAGCTATAGCCACAACGGGGGGGGGGGGTGTCACAGTGCAAGCCTTGCCCAGAGCAGGGGGCTCCTGGCACCTCCAGTCTCAGGAAACTCCCACCTTCCCCCCCCCCGGAAACACTGGGGTTTGAACCCAGGGCCTTCAGACTGACCAATGTCCCCAGCCCTTTTTTTTTTTTTTTAATTTTGAGACATGGCCTCACTAAGTCACTAAATTGCCCAGGTTGAGCTCAAACTTGCACTGCTCCTGCCTCAGCCTCCTAGAGGGCTGAAATGATAGGCACGCACTGCCTCTCCTAGCTGCAGGGCCCTTCTTGACCCCAGATGGTCTCCTTATAGATGTGAGCATAACAGTGACACAGAATTGGGTCTTATGATCTTCTGTCCACTGTAAAGGAACTGAATTATTATGTGAACTGAAGTGAAACACCTCAGCTCACAAAATAATTCAGTTCACAGACAAAAGCATTGGACAAGATTTTGCTTCTGTCCCTAAACTCCTCATAGGGTGACAAACAAACATGACCACAGCCATCTTCCCCACACAAATACAAATGCAGCCGCTTTCTCCCAAAATGTAAAACAAATCAAGTCAGTAAACTAAGGTACCACTGTATAACTATGTATATATATATATATATATATATATATATATATATATAACTATGTACTATCAACTATAAACATAAACTTTAAACTCTCTATCTAGCTATCTATAATATATCTATCTACTACCTCTATATCTATTAGTTTTCCCCGGCCCATAGCCTCTGCTATGTAAAAGTGTCCCATGGTACCCCAGTTCCTTTACTGTAAAGCTGGGACAATAACAGGCATAGGTCCGGGACTCTGAGGATGACTGCAGCCCCCGGGGCTCTGCAAGAGAGGATGCCATTGAACCCCTACCTTGGAAATGTCAGAGCAAATCAGCGGTGCGGGGTGGAAAGGGCCCAGATCGTGGGTGTGCTTTGAAAATTTGAACTCTTCTAATGTAAGTCTTGTGCTATTTGAGTAACTGGGGGAGGGAGGAGAAAAAGAAAGGAAGGTGGAGGAGGGTCACTGTGGGTAGAGCTGGGGAACTGGGAGCAGAGGGTGAAGGAGAATAAATGGGTAAAACAGTGCTGTTTTAAGGGTTTCATAAATGGGTGCCCATGTGTTCTGGGTCATCCAGGACAGTTGCAGAGCCACCTGCTGTTATGGGGCAACGGTTAACAGTTTCCTGTCCTCCCCAAAGGCAGTCTGGTGTGGTTGATGACTGTGATATGGTCTCTCTACCACCTGCAGAGAGGAACAGGCAGCAGAGGTGCAAAGGGAGAAGGAGCAGTGGCCTAGAGATGCGTAGCTATGGGCAAACCCACACTTCTGAGCCTTAATGTCCTCTCCCATGAGCACCGTTGATCCTTGCCAACTGACTCTGGATGCCAGCCTGTGACAGACCAGAGCAAGATATAAATCTCCTCACCTGGCTCAGCTTAACTACAGCAGCAGAGGAGCCAGAGAATGGGGACAGGAGTCCTGGTTTGCCCCACAGAGAGCAGAGGTGGCCGAACAGAGCAAGAACAGAGGCTCCCTTGTGGCCTCTGCAGGGACACTTACTCTGCAATGGTCAGCAGGTGGCGGGACAGGTCCATGTGCAGTTCGAGGTTGGTATTCTCCAGCTCCACCAGACTGTGCCGCATCTCCATCTGCTCTTTAAAGGCCCCGATGAGTTGTGCCCGGATCTTGTTCATCTGCCGGTGGCTTTCCTCTTCTGCATCGTGGGGGGCAATTGTGACTGTAGGCAAGGTGGGGGGTTATGTCAGAGGCAGGGCCAGCTAAGCTCAAGCTGAACCCCATGTTCACCCACTCAAGTGAGGTCTAGTGTGTTGCAGGACTTACTATTCCTGTGAAGATGGATGAAAGATGGTGGAGAGATGGGACTGTGAATGGATGGAAGGATGGATGGATGGATGGATGGATGGATGGATGGTGGGTAGGTGGGTGGGAGGATGTATAGATGGATATAGGGATGAATTGATGGGTGGGTAGGAGAATGAATAAATGGCTGAGTAGAGGGATAGATGGGTGGGTAGATGAATGGATGGATAACTAGATGGATGGATAGATGGATGGATGAGTGGATGGAAGCATGATGCATGTGTGCATGTTTAGATAGATGGAGGGTATTTGTGTGAATGGATGCATATGTTGGCAGGGATGTGGGTAGGTAGATGGGTATATGGATGGGTAGGTGAGTAGATGGATAGGTGGTTGAACTGGTAAATAAGTGAGTGGATGATGTAGATGAATTCAAATCATCTCTTTGCCTGATTTGGGGCTGAGCCACCCGCATTTGAGTCTCAGGAATTCACAGAGGGTGAGGCTGAGTTGGCCACTTCAGCTTAGACCTCAGCTTCTCAGTGAAATCCTACCACAGCCTTGAGTCTTTCTGCCTCCTGCTCTGATGTCACCCTGGTTTCCCTGTCACAGTCCTCTGCATGTCTGTAATGGGGAATATTTTGTAAGGAGTACTTCACATCTGCCTTTCCTGCTAGACCATGACCTCCACAGAGCTAGAATAAACCCGTGGTCTGCTCCTCGCGGTAAATTCCTAACAGTTGACCAGTAATTAATCAATGGTTTTTTGCTTGTGCTGCTCTGGGAATCATCTCCAAGCCTCATTGCGCATGCTTGGCCAAGCCCTCTCACCCCAGGAAGAAGCTCACTATGGGCCTGCAGTTTGTCCTGTAGTGTCTGATTCGGGGGCAGGGGACATGAGCTGCCCCCTCTCTCTACATAGCAAGCTGTCCAGACTGGTGAAATAAATTGTGGTGTGTCTGGGTGAATGAGTTATCACTAACCATTAAAGTTTTGGGCTAGGTGAGGTGGCATACACTTAAAATCCCAGCCACTCAGAGAACCCCAATTTGATGCCAGCCTGAGCAAATTTACAAGACAGCATCTTAAAATAAGATAAAGAGGGCCAGGAGTGTAGCTCACTAGAATGCTTCTCTATTATGTACAAGGCCTTGGAGTCAAACTCCAGCACTGCAAAAAATCTACAAGCTTTCAGGGAGCTCTTGGAAGCCCACACTTCTTGTTAATCACCTAATGTAGTAGTCTTCCGCAACACCCCACTGCCTCCACCAAGTTCCCAGTAACCCAGCCTGTCACCAAGCATCATGCACTCCTTTTGAGTTCCCTTCACCTCTGGCTCCAACAGCCACTTAAGACTCTGTGTTGTCCAGCACTCAGGTACACAGGAGGCTGTGGCCAGAATGCCAAGTACCCACCCCAGGATTGGGATGAGCAAACTGAGGCATCCCCTCCTGTGTGTCAGAGGGGGAGGTGGGGCCAATGTATAGACAGATGGTCTCCCAACGTGGGCCTAGGCAGAAAGCCAGTAGACAACAGGAACTGGGTACAGTAGCTGCCCCTGCAGTCCAGCTACCTGGAAGGCTAAAGCAGGAGGATTTCTCCCATCTTGGGAAGCCCAGGAGTTCAACATCAGCCGGGATAACACAGTGAGATCCTATCTCAAATAAAAACAGAAATAAAAGGTATACAAGAGGGTTGTGCAGGTTTTATAAAAATGCTTCCATTTTATATATGGACTTGAACAACCAAGGACTTGGGTATCCTGAAGATGCCTGGAACTGATCTCCCTTGGACAATGAAGTACAATAGTATTTTTTTTTTAAGACAGCATTTTTGGTATTTTTATTCTTTTTGCTTTTCTTCTTCTTTTTTTCTTTCTTTCTTTCTTTCTTTTTTTTTTTTTTTTTTTTTTTTTTTTTTTTTTTTTTTTTTTTTTTTTTTTGCAGAACCGGGGATTGAACTCAGGCCCTTGCACTTGCCAGGGAAGTGCTTATTCCACTGAGCCATCTCCCTGGCCCCTACAATAGTATTTATACAGCTACCGTGGGAATATATTTTTGTTACAAAAACTTGAAGAAAACTTCCAGAGTTAAAAGCACTCTTTGCTTACCTGACCACACCTCCCCTCCTGTAGCAATGGCTATCTCTGCCCAGCACCACCCACATCCTTCTCCTCTATTAACGCACGTATGTGTCTAGAGGTGGGTGAGGTTTTGTGGGTTGGTCTTTAGATGTTCATAAATGGCACCACGCTGTCACTACTTAATTTCCACTTGCTTCTGTGACCCCTAGCATGTGTCTGAAGACAATTTGTCTGAACAGTGACCCCAGCTGGCCCTCAGCCTCAGCTACAGAGGTATTTGGGGCTTGCTGGTTTCCACATTACTCTCTGAATGCAGATGCTCAGAATGGAAGAAGTGGTGAGACAGAGACATTGGCCACAGTGCCCTGGGGAGGGTGACAGAACCATGAGGGCCTTCAGGAGACACCAGGCTCACACAGCCCTACCTTGAACATCCGGGATGCCAGGTTCACTTTTGTTCTTCTCTTGCTTCTCAATTTTTGATTTGAGATGCTCAATCTCCCTGCGTAGGTCTGAGATGACATCCGTGTATTGCGCAATGCGGTAGGAGACATTTAGCAGGTTGCGCTTGACCTGGTAAGAGAGAGCTCATGCCCAAGTTGAACCCCATGGAGCTTCTCCTCACAGGAGTGTGAGACGGCGTACAGAGGTGTTTTATGTTGTAAACTTGGAATCGGTGCTATTCAGCCTTAAAAAGGAAGCTTATAGGAATGTGTACCTATAATCCCAGAATTCTGGGAAGCTGAAGCACGAGAATCACAGGTGCAAGTCCAGCCTGGGCAACTTAGTGACTTACTGAGAGCTTGTCGCAAAATAAAAATTTAAGAAAGCACTGGAGATGCCAGTCAATGTAAAGGCCCTGAGTTGAATCCCCAGTGCCTTCACTCCACACACACACACACACACACACACACGCACGCACGCACGCACACACATACACATAGAAAGCCATTCTGATTTGTGCTGTAACTTGGGTGAACCTTGAGTCAAGAACTCAGGGCTCAGTGAAGCAAGCCAGGCAAAAAAGGCAAATACTGCATGATTCTGCCTACATGGCGTCCCTGGGCTCATCAAATCCATGACAGCAGAATGGTGGGAGCAAGCTGGGAGGGGCTGGGATTAACCCCAAGAAGTTAATGAGTCAGTTTGGGAAGAGAAAAGAGTTGTGAATGGTGACAGGGATGGTTGTAGAACAATTTGAATGTGCTTATTATCATTTCTCAGTGCACTTAAAATGACTAAAATGGTAAATTTGGCACTGCAGTAAAACATTCAAATAATCCATAGAGAATTATTTAAAAGTCCCTCCATCAGTTATTCCTCCTATCATTTTGATGTGTGTCTTTCTACGTCCTCCCAAACAATACTGTATACATCCATGTGTCTACAGAGGTACATGGTCTGTGTTTTAATTGTGTAGGGAGGTTCCAGGTTATAGATACTTTTTTTTTTTTTTTTTTTTTTTTTTTGAGATAGGGTCTTGCTACACTGCCAAGGCTGGCTTCAGATTCCTGAGTTCTAGTGATTGTCCTGCCTCAGCCTCCTGAGTATTTGGACTACAGGTATGTGCCACCATCCTCAGCATGTAGCTCCTCTTCCTCCCATCTGGAGATCATCTGTCTGCATACTGGCCCCACTTTGCCCTCTGTCACATAGGAGGGTGTGTCCCATCTTGCTGGTCCCAGCCTGGGGGTGGGCCCTTGGGGTGTTCTGGAACATTCTGGCTGCAGTCTCCTGAGCATCCGACTGCTGTTTCTCCCCAGTGGGTGAAAGCAGTCATGGCGTGTGTGTACCGTAAGCCGAGCAGCTGCTGCGCAGTCGCCTCTACCTGTACACCACACGCTCATCCCCTGGCCTCAGCTTCCATGTCACCTCCTTGACCTGAGGCCTCCCTTGACCTCTGCTGATCACAAGGCCTTCTAAATCAGTCTCTGCTGTTTCCCTCTAGCAGCCCAGGGTTCTGCTCCCAAGCACAGACCACTCACTGTGTGAGTACAAGAAAACACCGTCTCCTCTCTGCCCTGGAGCTGCCTCTCTGCTTCAACTGCTGATGCTCAGCTCAGAGCCAGGCACTAGGAAGGGCTCCTTGTGGGTTTAACAAATGATGACACCAGGCAAAGTAGTGCACACATCTAATCCCAGCACTGCAGGAGGCTGAGGTAGGAGGATCGCAAGTTCAAGCTCAGTCTGGGCAATTTAGCAACTTAGCAAGACCCTTTCTCAAAAAGGAACTGGGGCTACAGCTCAGTGTGAAGGTTCTGGGTTCAATTTTCAGTACTGAAAAATAATCATGGCAATTCCTGTCATCTGCTGACCGATAACTATGTGCCAGCCACTCTGCTAAGCCGTAACATACACCATCTCACAGAAACCTCAGACCTGAGAGACAGCCTTTGGACTAAAGGAAGTTGTGTAGACAAACAGCATGGCAGTTGCATCAGGCCTCTGGCTCCCTCTGCTAGCTGCAGGAGGTGGGAGAAGTTGCTTTATCCCTCCCTGTAAGGTGGGGATGGTAACAGGATCCACCTCTGAGAGCTTCTGTGAGAATGAAATGGATTCAACCACATGCAGAGTTCACAACCTCATCTGTCCCATAGAAAGAGGTGACCATGACCCCACCCTAGGCCTGGGAATGTGAACTTATTGGGGAAAATGGTCTTCGTGGATGTAATGAAGGACCACAAAATGAGAACATGTTAGATGAAGGTGGCCCCTAAATCCAAAGCCAAGTCCTTATGCAAAAAAAGAAGAAAGAAACAAAGAAGGAGAAATCAGGCACAGCAATACATGCCTCTAATCCCAGCATTCTGGAAGGCTGAGGCAGGATGATCACCCGTTCCCGCCCAGCCTGGACACCTTACCCTCGTCTTGATGTTTTTAGCCCTGTATGCATAGAGCAGTGTGGTTCGTGACTCTTCGAAGCTGCTGCTGGCTGGGCTGATGTGGGCAATCATCACGGTATGGCTGTTTCCTCCCAGGGCGTCCTACTTGGGTGGAAGTGCTGAGCTGGGGTGACAGCAGCTGCCCAGAGTGTCAGCCCTCCCCTGGCTACCACCAGGCCCACCCAGAACCAATCCTAAGAAGGACAGTTGATGCCGGGAAGCTGGGGCTAGTACTCCAGGAGGCGACCTTTCTGATGATGTGGGACCCATTCTAGGCCACTCTGCCTTCTGCTCTGATAAGAGCAGATTACACCAAGAAGTAGAGTTTACAGGGACATTTAACTACTGCTTTGCCTTTATTTATTTGTATCTCTCCGTGTTGTAGAACAAAGTGACAATATTTAGCTCAGTATAAAGAAAAAATTTCTCACATCAGAGCCCTTATAAAGGGCCTGGAAGCCTCAAGGAGGCAGCAGGCTCCCTGTCACTGTGGGATGTGAGCAAAGCTGGATCATACTCAGCCGCGTAGAGGTGGAGAAAGTTTGTGACCAGAAATGGCCTCTGTGGTGTCCCCTTGTCCCTAAGAGGTTCCTCTGGAAGTTCCCGAGACTCATGTCTGGAACTTCCTCCCACACCTGGCGAGGCTGAGTGCTCACCTTCAGCAGGCGTGTGAGCTTGCTGTCCCGGAAGTTGACATACTGCGCGCGACCGCCCTTCTCGCTGAGTGCATTGATGCAGTTGCCCAGCGCCAGCAGGGAGCGGTTGATGTGCGCGCCCTCCTTCATCCTCTTGCCACGGTTCTGAGTCTGTGGGGAAGGCCATCTAAGCACAGGGGACCTATTCCCACCCCATAACCACTGCACCCTGTTCCCATAGTAGCCTGTGCTGTCCATTAGGTTTCCTGGGAGCCCTAGCCAGAGCCTGGCAGAGTGGGGGTCTGCCTGGGAGAACCCTGGCCTTCTGAGCTTTCCCCACTGTCCCGCTGACCTCTGACTCTTCACACACTCAGCATGCCTCACCCCCAGGCCACGAAACACAGGCTCTGTGAGGGCATAGCCTGTCCCTTGCTGGGCCTGGGTCCTCAGAACCTGCACACCTGCAGAGGTGCCTGGCCGCAGCAGTGCCCGACCACCCACAAGTGCCAACAAAGAGGTGGACGATGCTCCTGCAGGCCCGAGCAGGTGGACAAAACCCAAAACCCAAGCTGCTGCCGCAGCATGGTGACAATGGCAGGGATGGGCCTATATTTTCCTCCTTTGGCTTCTCTACATCTTCCAAATTTTCTGTATTTTATTATGTTCAAAATCATACAAGAATTGCCAAGGGCTGGAGATATAGCTCAGCAGCATAGCGCCTACCTGGTAAGTGCAAGGTCCTGAGTTCAATTCCCAATACCAAACAAACAAACACACACAAGAATTACTAAAGCTTTCTTTTTTTTTTTTTTAATTTTATTTATTTGTGTGTGTGTGTGTGTGTGTGTGTGTGTGTGTGTGTGTGGCCAGCTCAGCCCACCAGGGGGCAGTGCTGGCTGGCATGTGGTGCTGGGGATTGAACCACGGTCCCTGCACTTTGCTAAGCTTGTTCTAAGTAGGTGCTTTAGACCACTGAGCCATCTCACCAGCCCTAAAGCTTTCTTTTTAAAGATGAGGTTTTAGAGCCTATTGGCACATGCTTATTGCAGACAAATCTCCCAGGCTGTCTCCACCTCCTGATTTCCTAATCATGCTTTGAGGAGCTATGGGAGGGTGCCATAGGACAGCATGGGTAAAGGTCAGCACAGGCTAGGCAGGGTAGCTTTTGCCTGTAATCTGAGCAGTCTAGGAGGCTGAGGCAGGAGAATCACAAGTTGGAACCTATCAATTAATAAGGGCTGCAGCAGATGTACCTCAATGGAAAGGGCCAAGTTCAGTCCTCAAGACTGTGTACAGAGAGGGCACATAAGCAGGCTGCAGACACTAGCTGCTGCCAGGCAGGACCCAGGCTGCTGGAGTGACCAAGCCAGGGGTAGCCATTCCTGTATTGCGGGTCTGTATCAGGAGAGATCTTTTTGGAGAACTTGTGCTCAGAACAAATTCTTGGGCCTGGGGATATGGCTCAGTGGCATAAGTACAAGGTAAGCACAAGGTCCCGAGTTCGATTCTCATAACACACACTCACATTCACACACACACACACACACACACACACACACACACACACACACAAAACAAACTCTTTTTGCAAGACATTTTCTATGAGAGCCAAGTAGACCCCCAAGATAGCACTAGGTCACTGAATATACACAGCTCAAACTCCAAGGCCTAGAGAGCAGGACTGCTTGCCCAAAGCCACACAGCAAGTGGAAGAAGGTGAGAGCAGGGGCCTCGGACCCAGATCATTTTTGGTGCTCTCCCCTGGCACCAAGCCCTGGTGAGGCCAGTCTGGTCTCCACCGCTTCCTGAGCACAGCACTGCCCACGGCCAGCGCAGTTTCCGCCACGGTGTTTAGCTGCTCAGTGATGTGCCCACAGCTGTCTATGTACCAACCATGTCTTCAATATTCTGCATTCTGCTGCTGTGACCTCCTGAAGGGGCTCCCCTCCCCGTTCAGCCAATCCTAGGATGGCAAAGACCTACCTGCAAGCCTATTTTTCATCTGTATGCTTGCTCCCTAGAGCCCACTTCCCAGCCCTCCATGACTCTAAGCACTGCCAAATCACCCTGAGTCACCCTCTACTGTCTAGTGGGCACAATGCTGCCCTCCTGGGATGGCGCTAGTGAGTGCTAAGTGCTGGGTACGCTGGAGAAATGTGACCAATGTCACTTACTCATGACCTTGTTCTGACATAGCTCCTTCTTGGTCCCTGGCCCTTGGCCAGGTCCCTGCACCCAAGAAGTGCTCAGGCCACTGGTGCCATAGCCAAGAAGCCCCACACCCACACACAGAGACAGAAGCCTGGGGTGGTGAGCCTCCCTGAGGGGGTTGGGCAACACACTGTGAGCACCTCTTCTGGGCCAGGTGCTGTACAGGCATGGAAGGCCCAGTCTACATGGACTAGCAAGGTCCCAAGGGAGTGGGCATAATGACATCTGATGGGCCACACCTGGGAAGCACGCTCTGAGCCAGCCAGGTCCACCATGAAAAGCCTGCCAAGATGCACTTCCTCTGCCAGGTCTCGGCCACGCCGCCGCTGGTGCACTGTCACCTGCAGCACTGCATGGGAACGTGAGGACGTCTTGTTGGTGGCCGTGGGCTCCTGTGTGCGTTGCCGGTTGCCCCTGGTGAGGAGCTGCATGATCTGAGGACAGAGGCAGAAGGGGGTAATTGGGGTGTTGGAGCAGCCAGGTGTGTGTTCAAGAAACACCCTGAAAGAGGAGCGGTGGTGCTCTAAGCACCCCACCAGATGGGGGCAGTTGGTGGTTGACAGTAGGGAGTGATTCAAAGCTCAGTCACATGTGGCCAAGTAGAAGCGGCAGATTCCTGACCCCTGTACTGACTCTTTCCATCCTCCACCCACAGCAGACATCACCAGTGGATCCCCAATCTCTGCTCCACAGAGCCCAGAACAGCCCCAGGTTCCAGGCAGCTACAGAGCTGCTAAAGTTGGCTAGGGGGTGAAAGCCATCTGCCAGGCAGGCAGCTGTGGATCTCAGGCCAGGGAGCCCTTGCTGAGCACCCGCTGTGTACATCACCATGCCAGAATTTCGAGGTACATGTGGAGAGATGACTGAGAACAGAAGGAGGCATCTCCAGACAGCCCACAGTGGGACACAAAGGGCTGCTCACAATGGAGCTGGACCAGCATGGCCATGTGCAGGGGTGAGGGTTGAGCACTGAGAAGTCAGTCCGTGCTGACTCTGGAGGTGAGAAGGAGCCACATGAACTTCCTGGGCAGGAGGAGGCCCACCCCGAGTGTGTGTCAAATGTGGGCTGGCACACAGACTAGAGGCAGAGAGAAGATGGAGCTGTGGATGTGCCTGGAGCTGTCCCTTGCTGAAGGAGTGAGCATTAGGTCAGGGTGGCAGGTGGACATAGACCTAGCCTGTAGCAGGTAGCCTGGGAGGAAGGTATGGGGTTGGTCCATTAGTGATGTCTTCCCTGAGTACTAGCCCAGAGGTGGTCATGATAGAGATGATCACCTGTCACTGAGCTCAAATCCCACTGCTGGATCCCACTGTAGAGCTGTGTGTTGGCTTCTGCTCAGCAAAGTTGAGCCAGAACTTTGTGAGCTGCAGGGTGTGGCTGACCCTCACCTCTTGGGCATTCAATGTGGAGACCTCTGTGATGCCAGCAATCTGGATGCTGCCCCTAGAATCTTCTCTCAGGTCTAGAAACCCAGAGGATGGGTTCAGGAGGTCCCGGATAACTTCATTATAAATCTGGAGTGGAACAGAAAGATTGGAACAGAGAAGGTATGGTGGGAAGAGTCCCTTGTAAGGACTTCCATACCACTGGAGCTTCAATTGCTGGAGAAACCAGGGCAGAGGCTTTACACAAGCTGTCAGCGTGTGGGTAACATGCAGGGCTAGGACCTCACACACATACTTGTGTCTCTGGCTGTTGCACCCATTTTGCAGACAAGGCAGTAGAGGCAGGTAGGCAAGCTCACCTCAAAGTAAGACATGGACACACTGTAGTCCATGTTGTCCCGGGTCTCCTCAATGGCCTGGAAGAGGTCAGTGAGGGTCTGCAGATAGATGCCAGGCTCTGCATCCATACCCAGCATGGTGTGGGTCTTCCCTGCACCTGCAGGAGGTGTGGGCTCCTGAGATGGGCTCAAATGTGTTGTTTTGTAATAAGACAATTAACTTATCTCAATAGGCAAAAAGTGCCTCTCTACAGGGGCACCTCACCCCCCATCCTCTACGCCATAAAGGTGAGCACCCAGCCTCTCTTTCCTTCTGAGTTTGGCATGTACTAGAACTCGCTGACACATGTGATGAAAGAGTAAAATGGGCACACACTGTGACTCTGACCATCTGCCTCCCTCCTGTCTCCCTGCCTGTGCAATGGCAGGACTAGGGCTGGACCTATCTGGCTCTGATCCTCTTTGGTTGGACTTCAATGGGAGAAGTAGCTTAGATCTGTAAATGTTGACTGAACTCAACTCCTACTCGGAGAAGAAATCTGTGCTTCTCACGAGTAGCAGAGTGCAGGCTTGGGATGAAATCCAGAATCATACCAGGATCTTGTGGAAGTCATTGTATCTCTGGACTTAGTTCTCATCTCTGAGCAGAGGTCATCCCACCCACCTCTCAGAGCAGCTGAGAGGAAGTCAGCGCCTGCCATGAAAGCTCCTGTGTGGTTAAAGTTCCTCTGCCACCAACCCAATTCCCTCCGGGGGACACTGTGCTGTAAGATACCTGAGGGGCCGTAGGCAAACACTGTTGCATTGTATCCACAAATGACACCCTCTACCAAATGCTGGATGGTGGCAGAGTACACGTCTTCCTGCAGACAGACAGACAAACAGTCAAAGGACGTCCAGCCTGAGTTGGCAGGTTGTCTGCTTGAAGGGGACTGTGTGGTTGTGGAAAATGTAGTGTTCCCCCTGCATATGCATGGCACGCAGAGGACAGGGCTCGGTGTTAGGAACTCTGGGGTCACATCCCAGTCCTGTCGCTGGGCTACTTTGAGCACATAGTCTCTCTGCAGAGCTTTGTGTATAAGATGGTAAACTTGAGGCTGGTTTCCAGAGTTAAACACAAAGGCACATCAGAGCTGCCACCAGGAGGCCTGACATGCCCTAGCACTGGGCACAAGGGGTCCTCTCCCAAGGCTTTTCTGCAGGCGTTGAGAGGCTGAAAAGGACCCAAGTTTTGTGGAATTAGCAGTGCCTTGGGAGTCTTTTTTAAAATTTTATTTTATTTGTATTTTTTAGGGAAGGGTCTACAGGGTGTTCAGGGTCTCACTACTAGATCAGACTCCTAGTGATCCGCCTGTTTACAACCTCCCAAGAGCTGGGATTATAGGTGTGCACTACCACGCCCAGTCTCAATGGCTTGCAGGTGCTTTGCGCTTATTCTCCTGAGCCATCTTCCTGGCCCATGGGAGTCTTATGAAGAGTACAATTTCTCTTTTTTCTTGTAGTACTAGAGATGGCCTCAGGGTGTCACTCAGACTAGACAAGCCTTCACCACTGAGCTACAACCTTGGTCTTTTTTAAAAAATTAATTTTTAGATAAGATCTCACGAATCTACCCAGTTTGGCCTTGAATTTGCAATCATCTTGCTTCAGCCTTCTGGGTAGTTGGGACTACAGACATGTGCCACCACATCTGGCTATCATGTACCCTCTTTATGGGACAAAGCTGGGACTTGAACACCAGGGGCAATCTGGGCTCACAAGCTGTGGTACAAGACCACAATATCTAGCAGTGGGGATGTGTAGGTGGTGAGCTCCCTGCCCACAGGGAGTCCAAGGAGAGACACCATGAGGATGGGTATATGAGGCATGCAGGTTCAGGGCTCTGACAGCAGCAGCCCCCACTTCCTGGATACCTTCTCTGGGTCCTGCTCGTGAAATTGCTGCAGTTACCACTCCTCTGGGAGCCTAAAGCTGGCACTGCCTCTCTGGCTATGGGCCTGGGTAGGACTCTGTGGGCACACAGGCAGGCAGGCAGGCAGGCAGCTTTTCCTCACCAGTAGAGTAGAGCTCTGCGTCCGTGTATTCTACAAGGTTGCTTCAAGGCCTCTAGAACAAGGTATGCCAGGGCCTCTGCTGGATGAATGCTGGTGACTGACTCCTCCTACCCTCAATGACACTAGGACCCCAATGTGAGAAGAACAGCTTGCTCGGGCAGAAGCGGGGACTGTGTGCTGTGTAATGATGTGGAGTCCTGACCCAGACGCATACTCAGGTCCACTAGCCTCCCATTCCGGCCCCTGGTCAGGCTTCCAGCCTGCACCTCCTTCTTCCTTATGCAGACCCTGGGAGAAGGTGGGTGACACAAGTAAGTGTGTGTGTGTGGGGGGCAAGTTGGTACCTGTGATGAGTGGTGGTCAAAAACTCTGTCAAAGATGAAGGTGCGCTCCCGGGACCGGTGTGCGCGCAGGGTGTCCTCAGGGTCCTCACCAGGGTCCATGAGCACAACTGCCTGAGGAGGGGACAGAAGAGTGCTGAACCCCCCTCAACAAACTCTGGCCCCCAGGTTGCACCAGGCCAGAGTAAGACCTGGATGTGAGGGGACTGTGAGCTTCTGCATTGGAGCCCACCCACCCAGCACCCCTCCGCTCCCCTTCTGCCAGGCAGCAGGTCCTACTCCTGTACCCCAAAGCAAATGTGAGACCCCCCCAGCCTGCTATACTCTGCTGCCATGTTCACAGCTCACCCATATGTCTCTAACCAGAGCCGGCCAGGAGGGCAACTGGAACAACCCTGCCTGGCACAGCAGGCCAGCTTCAGTAACAGCTCCCCCAGGGCCCAGGGCCCAGGTGACAAACCCTGTCCTGAACAGAGGAGGCAGGGGATGAGGAGCATTGTAGGCTGTGGGTGCTGGGCTGGCCGCCCACTGCTGTGCTCACCTCACACAGCAGCCCTGAGGATTCTCAGGGGGAAGGGGACAGCCTACGCACAGGCAGGAAAACTAAAGGGATTCTGGAAAACCCTCCAGCGTGGCTTTGTTGCTCAGAGCCTGGGGCGTCTCCCATCCCACTGAAATAAGTAATTATGAAGCGAAGTGTAGGAGGCTCTCTGGGGGGCAGAATGCTCAAAGGAGTCCTTGCTAGGGAATCGGGGGCATCTAGACCACAATACACCCTGCCTGGTGGTAACTCAGGGACCATGGGCCCCTGTGAGGACCACAGAGTTGGGGAACATAGCAGGATGGCACCAACAGCATGCCATCTGGCCACCAGCTGGTCCCCTTTACTCAGAGCTTTGGAAACTGGGGTCCTAAGGGGCCAGAGTCTGGAGAGGTTCTTGGGGAGTCAGTGGCAGGCTGTACCCAGGTCTCCAGGGCTGCCCCTGGCTGCTGGCCAGTTCTTGTTCCATGATGTAAGCTGACTCTGTGCTTTCCTTCTCCTTCCAAGCCAGGAGGACTAGAGGATGAGACGACACAGGGGCAGCTCCATGTGTGCCCGTGGGCCAGCCAGTGCTGCAGGAGAAAGTGGACTGGTCTCCAACTCAGAGGGCCATGGAGGGGCCTGTGGAGCTGATGACCACACCATGGATATGGAACCCTAAGGCCTGGTTTCCCAGCCTGGCTCTCTGCCTTACCAGACAGAAGGCCTTGGACAGGTCATTCGGTTTTAAAAAGCCTCCGTTTTCTCCTCTGTAAAAAGGCAGTGCTCGTAGAATCCACTGTGAAGGGACTGAGACAGGTGAATAGGACAGCCCCTGAACCCTGGGTGCTCAAAAATTTATCAGCTGCCTTGGGTATTAGGTAAAAAAAAAATAATAATAAAATTAAAAAAATTACTGCTTTCTTATGTTAAAAAGAAATTATTAAAGCCAGATTCGGTAGCAGTGCTCTATAATCCCAGCACTGTAGGAGGCTGAGGCAGGAGGATTGAAAGTGAGAGCCCAGTCTGGGCAATATACTGACTTAGTGAGATCTCGTCTCAAAAAACAAAAAAAATCTTTTTAAAGGGTTGGGGAGAAAGGAATCATTATGCAGGTGAAGGGTTATGTCAGGTTACAGTAAGGCACAGTTACAGTACAATGTCCACATCCGGGCAATCCAGGCACAGGAATGTGGGAAGCCTATCGTGTTCTTGCAACTTTGTAGTTAATTGGCCTGAAGTCACTTTAAGTTTAAAAAGTTAAAGGAAAATGTGAATATGCCACAACACAGACAAGCCTCCGTAGCAACAGCTATATAGAAGCTACACACAAAAGGCCACATATTGTGGGGTTTCACTGATATGAAACACCCAGAATCCAGTTAGAAAGTAGACTGGTGGCTGCCAGGGGCCAGGTTGGGGGATATGAGGGCTTATGGGTGTGGGTATGTCACTAGCAGTGTGAGCTGTACAGTGAATCTGTGTGATGCAAAACACACTCTGCTGTTCTGAAGACTGAGCTGGCTTCCTACAGGACGCTGGCCTCATCTTTGCAGTGCACCACCCTGTTGGAACACAGGCCACATGAGCTGCATTTCTGTCAGGTCTCCAGGGCTCCTTACTTGATGCCGCCAGGTAATGACAGCACCATCTCCATGTCGCACATGAATTTTGGCAGAGCAGCACTCAGTGTGCCTGGGTTAGCCCCCTGCTCCAGAGCTGAGTCCTTTCCTGAAAAACTTTTGGCTCCCTCAGCCCAACCGCTGTCTGGCTCCCTTGGCTTAGTTTTCCACAGCCTTGGTCCTGCCCCTCCCCTGGTGCTGTCCCTCCCAAGTTGTCCCATCTGTGTTGTCTTCTGACTGACTTATCAGATAAGGACTGGGTACTCCGATCCCTGGCAGCAGTCACAGGGATCTCTGTCTACCAGCTTCCTGGGTCTTCTACCCTTGAACATAAACATCCTCCCCAGAGTCACATTTCACTTGCACGCATGGAAGACAAAGTGGGAAATCCAACCCATGGAGCATGCCCTGCCCCCAGATCTTGCATTTATTCCTGCAAGTGACAGCCAAGGGCAAGTGCTTTCCTGGCTGCCAGCAGCTTGAAGGAATCACGTGGGGCTCTGCAGTAGATCCAGATCCAGCTCCTGCATGGTTCTCCATGTCCCTGCTCTGCACCAGGGTCCTACTATGCCTTCCTACATCACAGCAGCAGGGTGGTGGGCATCGTCCTGGCTCCACCCACATCAGAGGGTTTGGTAATGAGAAAAGCATGGATAGCCACTGGGCTTCACAGCTGCTCCACCTGCACAGGTCCCCTGGCTCCACCTCACCTGGTCCCCTACTTTGTGGGCGATGATGGTGGCTCCTTCCTCCAGTTCAGCCTCACTGAGTGGGCGGATCCGAAGCGCCACCTGTAGGTAGGACATGAGCAACCCGTGCACAGGCATTCTTCCTCGACAGTCCCTCTCCCTAAGCCCCTAAAGCTCTGCCTTGCTTTTTCTCTTGGGGGAGCAGTGAAGGGTCAACGCTGAGCAACCCCTGGTTCTGTCCTAGCTCCTCAACACTTGCAGTAAGTTGCTCACGACCCCCAGGAAATGCTTTGAGGAACACAAGCCACTGCGTCACCTTCACTGAACACACAGGAAACTGAGACACAGACAGGTAAGGTAACTTATCCCAGGCCACACAGCTGCAGAGGGAACTTACTACCTTGTCAGTAATGACCACCAGAAAGAATGTACACCAAGCTCAGCTCTTCAGGCCAGCAGAGAGCACTTTGGGAAGACATTGTCTACCAAGAGGAAAACTATAGACTATCGTATTATCTGGCTTCCCTTTATTAAGGGAGCCCAGAGAGACCCCAGGGGTTGGATGCTATATGATCTGTAGCCTCTCACACTGGTCTCCAATTGGACTACAGAGAGGGGCAAGTCCCTACCTCACCCAAAGATCAGCCAGGAGCCGAGTGACACAGCAGTAAGTGTCTGCCCCCATTGAGGTCCTGGTACAGAAACTGAAGCTCCTGAGGCGGGGGGCTCACAGGGCATGGGGTGAGGAGGGGACAGGGTGTTACTGGGTCACAGCAAGGGACGGCCAATGGACAGAGGACCTGCCCTGAGGGCACTGGGCAGGGAATACTGGGCAGGAGGGGCACTTACCATGAGCTGTTGGTCTTTGGGCTCCATCTCCCTGAAGGCCGGGCTGCCCCGGGCTGGGGAGAGGCCAGTTGTACTTTGGGAGGGCATGACACCAACCAGGACAGCTCCCTGCAACACTGGCTGGTGTTTCTGCTTCCCTGGCAGAGGTGGAGGCAAGGAGATCTATCTCAGCTCACCTCGCCCCGCCCCATGACATCAGCAGAGTCCTTGGGGAGGGGGAAGCCAGGGCCATTGAGAGCTTGTTTACAAACCTGGTGTCACCTCTAACCCTCTCTGCAGTCAGGACAACCCACTCATGGTGAGTGGGCCCAGGCAGAGGAGCAGACCTCCTGATCTCATTTGCCCAGGACAGCCTTGGCCAGGAGCTTCCAGCCTGTGCACTTAGCCAATGCCATGGTGACCTGGGTACCACAGGCCTCCCTGTGCAGAGCTGAGCCCACTTGCCACCTGCCCCGCAGAAGGGCTAAATCTTTTCTTTGCAGTATAGAGCCCCTTCTCCCACCTTGAGTCCCAGAGGGGTAGCTAGCCACAGGGTCACCTGAGACATTATCTACCCCTGAAGCCATTTTGCCATTTCAGGTTCCATTGACCTTACGGCTTTCCCATTCGAGGGAACAGCAACTACAAATGTCAAATCATCTTGTAATTTCATTTTTCCAAATGGCTTTCAAAGAAACCTTAAGACGACTTCTTTATTTAGATGTAATTTCCGAGTCTTTCTCTAGTCTTTTCCACTCATGACCTGATTAAGGATCCATCAGGTGTTTTTGCGGCTGGGCTCTTTCCACTGTACCCCTGAAGGCTCTGCCCCAAGAATCTATCCAGCTAGGCATGACGTTAACAAGGGTGCAAGGAACCAGGGTGGTGCCTGTAATGCTTTTGCATTTTGACAAGGTCCAGGAAGCCCGGACCTGAGCCCACTGCCAAAGCTTGTAACTACAGCTGCAAAGAGAGTGGGGTCAGACTCACCCAAGGTTACTAAACCTGCAGGCTCTTGCCCAACAGGAAGGCCTCAGCCTCTTCCTTTGGGAACCTAACTGGACACTTAACTCCATGAAGTGAGCACCATGCTTGGTCACGCTCTTCTTTCTTGGTGTCCAGATCAATGGTGGACCTCCAAAAGTTGTTGCTACCCCCACCCTGCTGTACTGTCCACATTGCCCCAGTGGGTTTGCACCAAGGGACAGAAGGTGTCTGCTGGGCCCTTTCCTGAGAAACTTCCCTGAGAAAGGGAGGACTGGGAGATCTGGGGTTCCCAAACTCTTGCCAGGCCCCCAGGAGACTGGCCCTGCAGGGAAGCCTGGGCCCACCCAAGGCCTGAATCCTGGGACACCCACCCTCCTGCCCAAGAGCCAGGCACAGGCTAGGTCAAGACCTTCCTGCAGGAAGCTGCCCTGGAAGTCCACCTCTATTGCAGAAGAGAGCAAGCACCAATGTTTCAGAAATTCTTTTATTTACAAATCATGTAAAACAATTACAATTGATTTTAGAACAGTGAAAAACTTTTGAAAGCTATTCAAAAATCTGTTAAAGTGATAAATTGTCTTTTTTTCACTGCCATAAAGTTGGAAAAACAGCACATTTAAAGAACATAGCAATGGCCAAGAATGCTATAAAACGTGTGCTGAGGGGGATGGGATGGGCCAAATGCCAGGACCCCAACAGCAACAGAATCAGAGGAACCCAGAGCGGAAGACCTAGGGAAAGGAAAAGCACCAAGTGTCCCACTCTCGAGAACCAGTCAGGAGGGAGGCCCTGCTGAGCCCAGTGCACAGCCTCATCCCAAGGACATCAGCACAGCATCCCAGGGGCCACACTGGGCTGGCCCTGCCCTGAGACCAGACAGCCCTGGGAATTCCAGCAGGCCTTGGGTGCAGATCCTCAGTGCCCCTTCTGTGCTTCCAGCACCATGAGATATAGGGCAGGGCAATGGGGAAACCAAACTCACGGGGCAGACAGCAGCAGCACTGTGGGCAGGACTGAGCCAAAGCAGAGGCTGTACATGCCCTTCCCGGGGAAAAGCTAACTCAGGACAACAGCGCCTACACTGACACCCCCACCACGAACTTTCCACCTTGCTAACTGCAAAGTTAGAAAGTTTTCAACAAGGGAAAAGAAAGGGGGTTCCTCAAAAAAAAAAAAAAAAAAAAATGCAAGGAATTCCACTTTGGACCCAGTGGACTAACTTGTGGCCAGAAGAGACGGCAGAGCAGGAGCAGGTTCCCCAAGCTGGCTACCACGAGGGTCCCTATAGGGCACTATGTATGCCAAGAGACAAAAGGTGCCATGCCCAGGCTGACCAAAGACCCTTACCACTGGGGAGGGAACAGGCACCAGGATCAAGGCCACGAATCTATGTGCAAACAAAGGAGAAAGACAGCTTGTTCATACAGGTTTGCTTTATTTCCACGGTCAGCCTGCCAAGAGGACCTGCCATCCAGAAGGGCAGGTGAGGGCAGTGCTTCCTGGGCACCTGGTGAGCACCTCCTGCTGGTCTCCAGGATCCACCCAACACAGGCCCACGCAGGGCCAAGTCCTCGAACACAGAAACCCACCGCTTGGCTGAGGCGACCCCTGTAAACACCACCACAGCAAGAGAGCAGCCACAGGAGCACTGCAGCTGGAGTCCAGGTGCAATCATGGCGGTGCTGACATCCAAACAGCAGAAAGTGAAAGCAGTGCCTAAAACTGCCCACTGCGGACACCAGGGGTTAAAGGCACAAAATCGTGTCATGATGGAAGGATCCCAGGTGCGTTCACAGTCCAGAGTGAAAGAAAGCACAGGTAAAAACCCAGGTGTGCAGGCTTTCTGCAGGAGGGCCTCGGCGCCAGGCCCAGCATGGTGACCTGAAACACAAATCACTGTTTGTATCCTGCTGCGCAGAGGACCCACAGCAAGAGCTCCACTGCCTGCCCAGAAGCAGGCTCCACAGTCATGGCACTACGAGGCTGGCAGGTGGGAGACCTGCTTCAGTCTCAAGGACCCCAATGACCCCCAGTGTGGAGCCAGCTGCAAGCCCCTGACATACTGGCCCAGGACAGAGACCAGGCAGTGTTTGAGCTCCCTCTGCCCACATGGCTTAGGTTTAGCCCTGCCCCTCACCATTCCTCAGAACCCCTACATGCACAGTGCTGTGCTTCCACCTCAGAACTGGCTGGCTAGTCACAGCTAGCACAGGGAGTCACAGCTGTTGTGTCCACCCTCCTTCCTGGAGGGTACACGAAGGATGTACCCTAGCAAAGCCCCCTAGAGTGAGGCAACCCGCCTGGCACTTCATATCAACTGCCAAGGTCTCCTCAGCCATGTCCCTTCATAACCCATCACTTGCTTATCTGCCAGTGCTACCTCCTGACCCCTAAGAGTGGCTCTGCACATCCTTGTCACTCCACACACACGACTGCACCAGCCCTGCAGCCCTAAAGCTGCACTCCTGTTCTTCACAGCTACTTCATGGGGCAGGTGAAGCCGCGAGAATCACCACAGGCGCTCCTGTGAAGGGAGTTTGCCTCTCACCACAGTGCTCTGGTCACTCCTGGTTCCCAAGGGGAATGATCTCCTCTGTGACAAAGAACTCAATGGTCTCCTCCTCCCAGTCATCCACATTGCTGTCCAGCTCATCTGTGTCCACCCCTGAGAAGTGAGAGAGCAAGGCTGACTCTCAGGTGGATCCTCACCAACAGGGCGGGCAGCAGCAGACCCAGGCTGTGCTGTTAGCACTGGCCCACAGCATAGGGCACCACTCCTCTGTCACTGCCTCAGAACCTGGCAGTTACCTCCTCTCAGCTCCAGACGCTCATTCTTCTGCTCCATGTAGCGCTCCTGAGCCATCTTCCGGTATTTCCGGAAGTCTTCCATCATGGTTCTCCGCCTTTCCACAAGTTCCTATGGACAAAGTCCAGAGGCATTACAGAACAGAACTATAATTCCAATACTTGGGGAGGCTGAGGCAGGAGGACTACAAGCTCAAGCTCAGCCTTGGCAACATATTGTCTATATGAAGGCTGAAGAATGCACCTCAGTGCAAAGGTCTTAGGTTCAATAATCTCAGGCCAGAATAGTGGGATATATTTGTTCCCAGGTTTCTCCTCTAATATCCCACTACCACTATCATCTATGTAACTGAAAAGCAGCCACCAACCAATAGAGCCAATCAGGCCATTTGTTCCAGGTGCCAGAGCCTGCTGGTCCACCCCAACGTAGCAGAACATGCAGGTGCTGGGAAAGTTTCGCTCTTCTCACTAGCCCACAACAGCCTGCCTGTGTCATGCCTGGGACAGCAGCTGCCTTTAGCAGCTCCCAGAACAAGCTCACCTTTGAGGCTTTGGACTGGCTCAAACGATCCTTCTGTTCAAAGATTTTCGAGTATTTCTTCAGATCCTTTTTAATTTGCTGAATCAAAGACAAGTTACTTGGGATTAACATTCAGAGCAAGAACCACAAACACAACTTTTAGTCAGAGTCACTGTCCTCAGCAATTTGAAGATTTCTGAACACAGTCCTGTTGGCTCTTGCTTCTGAGTTCACTACACGAAGCAACTGTCCTGGGATTCACACTCTCCTCTTCACTCTGACCCGGTACCACCAGCCAACTCTCCCACAGTCACATCTGCATGAGTCCCCAAGGCTGTATGCCAGCCCCAATCTATGAGAGACTTCTGGTACCACCTCACGGTCATCCAGACTATCTTGAAACTACTCTTCTCCCCTTGCCCACCTGCACATTGTCAAGAGCTCTACAATGTCTTGCTTCCATTTCCTAGTCACCACCCTTACAGTAACAACGAATCACAACCATTTCTGTTTGGTACAACAGCTTCCACGCCCTGAGCCTGAAGAGGAGCCCACACCTTTATCTGCTCCTGGCTGAGCAGTGTCGGGGGCCGGGGTCTCCACAGCAGCTGGCAGAAGCGGTCCTTGTTATTCTTCTGCAGGAGGCGTCCCTGGAATGTCCACAGCCAGTAGGCATTGTCCACCTACAAAAGAGCGGGGCACCCTGAACCATCAGGTCACATGAGACAAAGATCCAAAGACAAAGACAAAGCCTTAGCTGCCAACAGAGCCAACAACAGCAGCCACTGTATCTGTGAAAGGGTGCTCTGGGCACTTGACAGAGAGCAGCGAACAGCCCAGGCAACTTATCAAGACCCTATCTCAAAGTAAAAAGTTAAAAGACGTTACTCAATGCAAAGGCTCTGGGTTCAATCCCCAGTATCACAAAAACCAGCCCCCCAAACAAACCATAACCATCCATAGTAAAAATAAAAACACACAAAGCAAGAAAGCAAGTAAAAGTAAGCAAGAAAGGACACAATCCAAAAATAACCCCATTGAAGATGCTATTCCCAGGCTATCAGCAAAGTGTTCCTGAAAACTCAGTTTCACTAAACAATCACTCTACGTGCCCTCACAGGTTCTAGGGGGATGAACTAGTACAGCTGTTTTTTTTTTTAATTATTTATTTATTTTTATTTATTACATTTATTTATTGTGTGTGTGTGTGGCCAGCTCAGCCCACCAGGGGGCGGGGCTGGCTGGCATGTGGTGCTGGGGGATCGAACCACGGTCCCTGTGCTTTGACAAGCTTGTTTCAAGTAGGTGCTTTAGACCACTGAGCCATCTCACCAGCCCCAGTACAGCTGTTAACACCTTCTTCCTCCCTTGCTGTGAAATCAACTGCTGCTCCTTGGAAGTCAGAAAAGGAACACCAACACTCCCTGCCAGCCAGGGCGGGGCTGGGAGAAGGCCTGGCCCCTTTCCCTGAGGGTCCAGCACACCACCACCAACCCACACGGCCAGTTGGGTTCTGCTGCCACAGCTATTTGGGTCTTCTACCTTACCTTATGGCTCCACCAGGACACAGAGGTGACCACATAGCGTCCAGTGGGATCCCATTCGACATCAGAGGCCATGTAGTGCTCTGCAATGTTCATGACAGTGCAGTCTGAGGTGTCAACGAACGCCAGGGCTCCATTCATGCTGTGGAAACAGCAAGCACTCAAATCTTCCACGTCCCCACTGGGAGCACCAAACTGGCTGCTCTGGGCTCACAGCAGCCAAACCTCTGCCTCAACTGCAGTTTATATGGAAACCATCGTGGTAATATTCTTGGAATGAAGGTTTGAGACTGGGACTACTACACAGACAGGGTACATAAGGCTCCTTGCATTGTGATTACTAAATAAGTATCACAGGAAGCTAACCAGGCCTTCAAAATGACAACAGTGAGCCTGTAACAGAGCAAGGAACTCAAGAGACAGTGCTGAATGGCTCCACTTTAAACCAGAACAACAGAGGGAGACACTAAGTTCTCATCTTTCTACCAATCAGAGGTAACAACAGTCACACGGCTGTCTAGTCAAATCGTTATCCTGGTAGAAGACTCAGGGTTTTCCAGGAGTAGAGCCAGCAAGGCCTTTTCTAAGCAGAGGGATATCTGCCTATCCTCTTAAGTACCTATAAGAGCATTCAAAATTCCTCACCCAAGTCTCAGACCTATGTGGACATACAAAGGAAAGACAATGTCCCATCCTCCCAGCCAGAGCCTGGCCAGACTATGGCTGCAGCTGGCAGATTCACCGGCACTCACCTCCTCAGACCGGCTAGCACAACAAACTGCCCCTGGGGACTCCAGAAGATGGTGTTTGCCTGCTGCTTATCGAACATTTCTGGAAGAAAAGCAAGTGCCCATGAGTCCGTGCCACAGCCAACACAGACACAATGCTCCTAGGGATAGCCTGGTAAAAAGACATACAGCTAGGACCCACTGACATCAATCTGACCAGTCACCTCTGAAAACTACCTCCAAAGGCCCAGCATTTAGGTACAGCTTAGATTATAAGCCAAAAAGAAAAGAGGAATGGGGAGATAGCTCAGTGGAATAAGTGCCTGCCTGGCAAGCACAAGGTCCTGAGTTCCGAAAAGAGGAAAAACAAGGAGCACTGGGGTCTTTGAAGCTATAGTATTTTCTTAAAAAAACTTCTCAAGCCAAGGGGACAAAGGATTCCTCCATGGTGAATATTGTACTCCTCACACTCAGAAAGCCCACAATGCCTATCAAATCATCAGGGACAGGATCCCAATAAGACCAGAGTAAGGGCTCTGCTACAGGCTCCCAGTACCTTGTTACAGTTGTGGGGTCACAGAAACTAAATTTATCATCTTTCTACACATGTTCACTCCCACAGTTAGTGGCAGTCTCTGCCTGGACCACACCCCGACCCCACAACTACATGTCAGGCTTTCCACAAGCTACAGTGAATTCCTCTAGCTTCAGGAGACCCTAAGAACAGATAGACATGCGAGGAGTGGGAGAAGATGCAGTAGGGGTACACCACCCTGTAGGGCAGGATTCTCACATGCACTTCAATGAGCAATGCATTGTGATAAAAGTGTTCATTCTGTGAGTCCTGATGGTCTGACACATGGCAAGATGCAGAAGACAGAAAATTGACAACCAGGCTCAAAAAAGGTGTGTCATGCACGAAACTCAGAAGGTAGAAGGCACCCTTTTACCTTTCTGTGCATTCACTGTATAACTTTGCATGAGATGCCTTTTGTCTGTTAAGTGCCTTTTTTTTTTTTTTGAGATAGGGTCTCCCTATGTAGGCCAGGCTGCCTTTAGACTTGTGGCAATCCTCTTGCCTCAGCCTTCCCAGTTTTTTTTGTTTTTTGTTTTTTTTTTAAAGATTTATTTATTTATTTGGTACAGGGTCTCGCTATACAGCTAGCGATCCTCCTGTCTCAGCATATCCCTCCACCTCTACTCCCATGTACTGGGATTATAGGCGTGTGACACCACAGACAGTTTCAGTGGCCAGCACAGCACAGCACAAAATGTGGGGCCAGGGATCATTCAGACTGCCAAATTATCTACCCAGCTCCCCCAGTGCTCGAGTTATTGGTATGCACCACACCTGGCTTTGTAACTGAATACTCAAAATACTACTACAACCAATTCTGTGATGCACAGTCCATTGTTCCTGCTAAGCTGTGGCTGAGTAAAGACTAAATTCACAGAACTGTCTGGGGAAGAGCTAGCCCCAGGATATACCAATCCCTCCTGGGTATAACACAGCCCAGGAGCAAGGGAGCACAGCCTGATAGATTGCTGAGGATGAGAAACACTGGTAACACAGCCACTGCTTGCTCAATCCCACAGTACTCGCTAAGTCTGTGTGTGCTGATCCTCGCAGAGACCGAGGACATGAAACAGAGTAAGAGGCAGCTATCTTTAGGGGCATGCACCCATAAGAATGACAAGGCCTGCTCAGGGGAGAAAACTGGGGTGACTCTGTACCCCAGGGAAGAACCCACACTGAGCAAAGGCCTGGCCACATATGCTGGGACAGAGGGACTAACATTGGTAAGGCAGAGTCACAGCTACAAGTTGACCCTTGTGCCAGGGCAGACCTAGTATCCTTAGAAGGGTGGTCATGGGGCTAGTGAAATGGCTCAGTGGTCTAAAGCACCTACTTAGAACAAGCTTAGCAAAGCACAGGGACCGTGGTTCAACGCCCCCAGCACCACATGCCAGCCAGCCCC